CAAGGTCTGTGACACTGTCTGGACATTTCTATGTCCATCCTGGGAGCATCCCGGCCTCGCCGCAGCGTTCCTGGGCTCCGGGCAGCTGCCAGCATCAGCCACAATTTCCTTTAAGTAAACCCTCTGCCAGGGTTTTCTTATTGCCTAGGGTCTGTTGCCAGCCCTGCTTCCTAGTTGGGATTTCAGGGATCATCTTCTGCACCCTTCTTCCTGTGAAAAACTTTAGAAGGGTTTAGTTTGCCTTTGCTTTCATCAGGCCCCAAAGAAACCCACTGGCAAATGCACCTTTTTATATATTCAGCCTATATCTAGATACTAATTGGTGAGGATGCTGGGGCTCTGTTTCTGGTAGGACACCAGAAGGACCTGATAAGATCTCTCAGCTCTCTGCAATTAGTGGCTGATTGGTTTTTCTCATTGCTTGGGACAGGCAGAAGCATAGAAAAGCGAATATAAAATTATTTTTTTACCAGCATTGAGCTCTTGAGCTCACAAAATCCTGCCTTCAGATGAGCAGTCTGAGGATCACAGCTAGTTCAGGCACCTTCGCTGCTAGGGAAGAGCTATTTCTGGGAGCCCCGTGTGATTCGGAAGGGGGCTGCAGAAGGCTTGGGGCTGTTAACCACAATTTCAGACAAGTCGTTTAAGGAGCTTGATTTCTGGCACCTGGTTTATAAAAGGCACGATCCAAACACAAGACTGTCAGAAGATAACTTCTAGACCTGAATTTCCCCAGCAGTCATTGCTGGTGTACTCTGTATATATTGATTTATCTTTGCGTTTGGAAAAAACCCACAACATAAAAGACTTTTTTTTTTTTTTCCCCCCTTCGTCTTGATGAAAAAAAAAGGTCCTGGTTGCAAATACCCCAATAGCAAGAGGAATCCCACACTTTGCCCATCTGGCTCCCCATCGTCCCCATTCATTTTTCGGTGCTGGCTGTTTTACTGATACTTGTTTGACCGATGACTTCTTATGATTTTTATGCATGCCCAAGGCTGGACACCAGCACCTTGAAGCTTTACTGCTGAGAAGTGGAAGCAATGAGTGTGATACCAAAAATTTTGGGGACCTGCCTGACTCAGGGGTACGATAGCAAGGCTTTTCCAGGACAAACCACGACGGCTGATGGTTACGCAGTGCTGAGCACACAGCCCCTGTGTGCCGGGGATGCCTTGTTTGTGACGATGTTAAATTAGTGGCTAATACCATATTATTATTTTTTTTTTTACTTTATTTTTTAAAACGCATTTGGCAATTTCACTTTAACACAGCTGAGTACTTTGTTATTTTGTTCCCTGCGTACCCAGCAAGGGATGCCGAATGCCACGGGGCAGCGTGTGGTAGGTCCAGGAGCATCTTCACATAGGAGATTTCTCTTTTTTAAGGGAAGCCAGTGTTTTTAATGGGAAAATGATGGTGCAAATACTTTTTCCTTTGCAGCCCAGCCAGTCCTCTCCCAGTTCTGAGACCTGCCAACTCATTTCCTGCAAATCCAGGGGATTTGCAGACAACCGCTGCCGTGCAGCACTCTTCCTTCATCTCAGCATCGCTCCAGGGATGCATGACAGCAACACGGCCGAGGGCTTGTGGAACAGGGCTGGTGATTTCCAAAGCAAGACCTTCTCTTTGCAAACGAAGAGCCGGGATTTAGTCACAGGCGACGTTCAAAGTTTATGCTGTGGTTGCCCTTTCTGAGCTTGCATGCCAGCCCTGCTCGCAGGCATTTCTCTGCCACGCAAATCCATTCAGAGAGGCTGTGTTTCACCCAGGAGTGCTACTGCTGACTCTTCTTGCTCCTGCTTTTATTCGCAGTCATGGATATCTGCCGGCTGCAAAAAGATGAGGGGACCTGCAGGAACTTTGTGCTGAAATGGTACTACGACCCCGAGACCGAGAGCTGCGCCCGGTTCTGGTACGGCAGCTGCGGAGGCAACGAGAACAGATTTAACACACAGAAAGAATGTGAAAAAGTTTGCATCCCTGGTAAGCAGCACACGTGCAGCTGGAGAGGGGGGGGTCAGCCAAATCCCGGGCATTTCCAGTCCAGTGCATGGCTGTAATGAGCTTGCATGTGGTGCTCAGGGCTCCCTAAGCAAGTCCTGGCAATTAACTCATTTACTCTTCCCATGCACGGAATAACCTGATTTATTTTCTCTTTCTCCATCAAACCTTTTCAGGGAACATCAAGCCCGGCGTGGTGACAACGATAGGAACATAGAGCCAGCGACCTGGCAACACATACCTCTGAGACAGCCAGGAGCATCCGCCGTTGCCACCTTACCCCTATAGAAGCTAAGGGTATAGACTACCTTGCACTGTACTATTTCATGCTTTTACCTTCCAAAGCAAACCTTGAAGAAAGTGTTTTGCTGCATGACCTATCAATATGGTGCTAAACTGTTTGTGGACTGAGTGCTACATGTGTCCGGGTTATATTGTATAGCTTCAACATTACCAAATATTTACCTAATTGCAGATTGTTCTTGTCTCTCAACGTGTCTCTAAATTACCCTTTCTTTCCGATTCCGGCAGTCCGCCTATCTAAGGCACTGTAAAAATGAGACAAAAAAAAAAAAAAATTCATAATAATTTCAGTGCAACTGTTACGTGCTTGCTTTTATCATTTTCATAACTGAGCATAACTTTACAGGGGAAGCCTTCGTGTAAGAGAGTAGCTAATTCTGATAAACAAGTGGTTCACTTTTTCATTCTTCCCTTTTTTTTTTTTTTCTCCTTTTGCTGGATTAGATTTCAAACTAGATCTCTTGTATGCATTTGTAACATATGTGGCCAACCGAACTAGCAAGGAAAAGGAAGCAAGGTTTCCGAATGCAAATGCACTGCTGGGACCAAGGCCTCAGTTAACAAATTTTTAAATTGTGGTGTAGGATGCCTCTGGCGTTCTTCTGATGTTGTATGTTTTATAAAATACAAAGCAAAGCAATTTGGGGAAGGGGGGGTGGCAGGTGGGAGGGGGATTTTATTTTTATTGTGAATTCTGTGTCAGGAAGTCTATACAAAGAACTTTTAAATAAAGCCTAATGGAGGTTTTGAGAAACTCATGGGTTTGTCTTTGTAAAAGCCACGGTGAGCATCAGTGGAGTCATTTTCCAGGGTCTGGAAAGCATTTCTTTGGAGGGAAATCCTGCTGGCCCTTAAAGGAAGGATGGATGCTGTACAGATATTTGGGGGGACACCACTGAGATCCTGCTGGTAAACTGCAGTTTTCCAGCTTAGGAAAAGGTGGAAACTGAGACATCTTGGTTGTGAAATCTCCATCCTGGAGGGATTTAAGCTTAGCCAGACATGGCACTGAGCAACCCGGCCTCAGCTGGCCCTGCTTTGGGCAGGGTGTCGGACCAGAGGCAGCTGGAGGTCCCTTCCAACCTGCATGACTCAATGGCCCCATGGACATTTTCGGTTGTCTCCTCTGCTGCCCATAGCCATGATGGCTTTTACCCTAGGCTATTCCTGTCCTTAGCTGAGCTCACCCAAGGAAGCCAAAATTCACAGAAACAACACACATTTCCCTGCCCCTCCAAGAATCCTCCCTAAAAGCATGAAGCAGAAGAACTCGACCCCCGGCAGGGCACGGGGCGGCTCTGGGGCTGATATCTTAAACTTCCCCGAGCCTCAGCTGTGGTCTGCAGGCAGGGGTTGGTAACACTTCCCATGGCCCGGTGGAGGTGCTCAGAAGGAAGAAGCGAGCCTTGCAGGGACACGCCACGGACGGGGCAGCTGACTGCCAAAACTGGAGCAGGTCCACAGGTGAGAGGGCATTTACTCACTTCTGGAGAACAGGGTTGCATTGGTTAAATCTTGGAAAGGAGACCAAGGTTACCATTTAGGGTTTATCCAGCATCTTCCTCCATGGGTCAGGGTGGGACTGGCATGAGGAGAAGGTAACCTGGTGTTCACCTGCCCCACACTTTGGGGTGCTACTTTCTAAAGCACTTCAGGTGGGTCTTCAAGGACCACGCCATGAGACACTGCACAGGCGTTGTACACGATGCCTTTGAAAGCAGCCCTCCCAACAGGGCGATCTGCCTTCCATACCACCATTTACAAGCCTAAATTAAGCTGGCCAGACACCTCAGGTTCCCCGTTCAACGCTGCACATGATCCACGGCAGGGGTCCAAGAACCTCACCTTAGCTTGTCCAGATGAGTGGGGCTGCAGATTCGTCGTGGCAAGGGGAACACGTAGGCTTTCTCTGGGCTTTGTCCCCGTGAGGATTTACATTTCTAGGTGTCTCAGCTTTTAGGCCATTCTTGGCACACGGAGCAGCCCAGATCCCAAAATTTCCCATCAGTACCAAGCCACTTGCGTGGGGTGAGGGGATGGCAGGGATGCTGTTCGACTGGGGATAAGCCGAGACCTGGCAGTCACGCTCGGGAAGCTGCGCTGTTTATCTGGCACCTTCTCCGAGCACATCACAAGGGCTTCATTAAAAAAGAGGGGAACGGGTAATTTCTTGTAATTTATTATTATAACTGGCCCTTGCAATGGCTGCACCCAGCTGTGGCGGCTCCAGAGGACAGAGCATCTTGCCCTGCATTTCACCATGCGTGGGGGCATGCCCAAGACTCCCTTTGTTTAATCTCACGGGCTATAAAAATTGCAGCTAGGTTAAAGCGACCCACAAATCACCCTGCCCTCCAGCCTCCCACCTCTCTGCGGCACAGGAGAGGTTTTTCCCAACATCGGTGCCACCTCCCTTTCCCAGGAAAGCTGCTTTCAATGGACCATGCAGCGTTCCGGGATGCGAAGGCGCAGCCTGCGCTTTCACAGCATGCCGGGGGGAGCAGGACACTTGGGAAGGGGCCCCCCCCATCCATCCCCTCCCATCCCCGGGGCTGTGGGGTGTTGCAGTCGCCTCTCCCGAGGCCCGTTCCTCCCCGGGCCCCCGGCCAACGGCCGCACGGGGTTACACATGGAAGTCATCTGCAGCTGGGACCGCATCTGCCAGCGTGGCTGTGGGACCAGACCAGGAATAAAAATAGCTCAGCCTGGCCCGGCAGAGCCCCGAGCAGCGCGCTCCCCTCCTGGCTGCCGAGGGTTAGCCCCGATATCCGCACCCTGCTGCTCTCGGGGTGGCCTTTGCCATCTCCCACCACCATTTATTAGCACCCCTGTGCTGCAGATCTGGCCAGCATCCCCCCAGACGCGAAGCCCCCCCCTATGTTAGGGGAGGGGGCTGCTCCCCTAATGTGTTTTTTTGCAGGCAAATTAGATCTGGCTAAATAGTTCCCGTCCCCTTGTGAAACCATTTCTTAGCAACATCCTAAAAGAAATACAGACACTGTGTTTATGAACTCAAAACAGACGTGACGGATGTATGTCCTGTAACCTGGAGAACGCAGGCCTTTAAGCAGGGCTTCTTATGCAGACATCCCACCTAAACTTCCCGCACCAAAAACGCCCACGATTTCACTTTGAAAGGTACAGCGTCAGTTTTCCACCCCCAACTGAGAGTGAGACAGCAAAGACATAAAAGCTGGACTCAAGCCTAGCATTTCCCCGTAAACTGAGGGCACAGTGTGAAATAAAAGAGCTTCACGGGAAGCAAAGTCTCCTGGTGAAGACCTGTTGTGTGGTCTAATGCTGTTTAGAAAGTCTCTCCGTCTTTTGGCATGAGCCCTGAGCGAGCTGCCGGAGGACATGGCCCACGGTTGGGCTGAGGCTTTCAAACCCTCGGGTTGTGGCCCAAAAAGGACTTGCATGCCTGAAAGCCTGCTTTCCTGAGGCACATCAGCCTAATAAAAGATCCTATCACGCCCTATAAACTCTTGCTGCCAGACCACAACAGCTACATCACTTCTACTAATGGCTAAGATGCCTTTTAAAAAAGTTCAGCACCGGTGGAGAAGCTAACCTGGCATCCTCCTCCTACCCTGACCTGCTCGCATCTTCTTTTGGATAGGCCTGGCCTCATGTTTTAGCGTAACTTGCCTGTGGGACCCGTGCCCTGAGGCACCCTGGAGCGACGCTAGGAAGGTCTGTCCATTGATATAGACAGTATGGTGAGATATGGTTGCCTACATCTAGGCGTGATGTCTCATTTCAGCTACTCTCAGGCAGCAGTTTCACGGTGCATGTGGGATTTCCTTAACCTTTACCATGTCTCCCAACCCTGCGCAGATATCGTCAGGCACCACTGAGCATCTTGACTTGCAGCAGGGGCTTGCATTTCGGCAACCAGGAACCCCTCCTAAGCAGAGGTGTGGATGCAGGAGGGGATGTAGGACTTTGTGGCTTCCTTTGGGCAGCCTTACTGTGAAATACTCCATGAGAATGGTCACCGGTAAAATAAGGGCTGATGACTCTGCTGACTGGGACAGAATTAGCAGTAGGACTTGAAGACAAAGCATTAACTCCAAGGACTTCACGCAGGTCTCCAAGGCAGGGTCAACCCGACCTACATCAGCCCTGCACAGGTTTGTCTAACCTGTTCCCAGAAAACTCCAGAGATTTAGGACAATTCTGTAATTGCCCTAAAGGGTGACAGTGGGACAGTCCCTGGGACAAACTATTACATGGCTTTTGCAATAGCCAGTCTCAAATCTCACTTGCTCTAACTGAAACCCAGAAGAGTTTGGACGAACATGTTGCCCTCAGATGCAAGTGAGCTACAAATCCGCTGGTGAAAACCACAGGGTTCAAGACCAGAGCAGAAATATAACCTTTTATGATACCAATGAAGAGTAAAAATGAAGAGTAGGACATGTAGCAGAGTTAAGCTACAGAGCTGCAGCCAGACCCTTAAATTTAGGACAGCACCAGCATTTAATGCTTGGTTAGGTTCTCTGTAATGCCGTAACTTTGCATTTAATCATAGCCTTCTTGGGAAACCTTTACAAGGAGAGGCAAAGTGGCTCTGACACATTTTATTAGCCAGTATTAAATTTATTACATCAGTAAAAGAAGCCAGTCTAACAGTATATAGATGTACACATGTACCTGCCTAGGTCCTTTCAGTTAAAGAGGGTTTTACTGCGACACCACGCCAAAGCAATGCCCTGCGCCATGAGTGTTGACATTGCAAGGTCAAGAGTTTAAGGAAAAGGATGTCTTCTACACCAGGTATTCCTGGAAATTAGGACTGTATCCAAGTCCTTCAGTATAGATGCAGATAAACTTGAAGCAGCTGACCCTGGAGAAAAGGATCTTCAGATAATTGAGACTTAAGTGTGGGTATTTCCTCGGACACTGGTCTCGTGTGTGGCCATCACCCTACCCTTCGTCCTTTCTTGCTTCAGCCTCCTGCTTGTGAGATGGAAATAATCCATCTCCCAACCCTAAAATCATTAAACCTCTGCGTAACAAGCAGATGGTAAGCTGAGATAAGAGGATTTGGAAGATGCTAGATTTTGTACATGCCCATGTGCTCTCATGCTCTCTGCCTACATGTTACAGGTCCTGCGTGCCCATAAACTCTTTGGGGCAGCGTGGTCCCTCCTGGGGAGCCGCATCTCGCAGGGAGCTCACCTCAAGCAAGCACCATTCCCGCGAGCCGCAGATGACCGCTCAGCTGCTGGCGTGCCTGCCACCAAGACCGGCATCCCGGATGGCTTTAAATCCCGAGATAATTTTAAACTCATGATAATTTCTCGGCCCTTGCCACCTGCCCAGAGCCCCAGCCCAGCAGCCGGGGACCGCTCACAAAATGGCAGGAGGCAGCTCGCTGGAAGCGCAGCCTTTTCAAAAACAAAACCCACGGCTAAATTGGACGTGGCGGGGTAAACAGCCCCAGCAAATAGCTGGGACTGCACTCCAGCTGCGGATGATTTACGAGACGGCAGG